AGAATACAATGTATATATACAGCATTGCTTACTTGAAGGATACAGATCATGGAGAATTTTCTTTGATGAAAGACCAGTTCCATTTGTGTTCCTCCTTGCACTGAGTTTTAGTGACACAGAACTTGCTTGTATTTAGTGTTTCATTACATTTTAAAGAATCATTTTACACACATATTTACCCTTTTCTAAATCTAAATTCAAATACCCAAAGCAGGGCTGCTTAGACCCACCACCTAGTATATGAACTTATAGTAGCACTTTGATACTTGCTTTATATGGAACAAACAAGTTATGACAAACTTTAAAGTTCGTATTCGTCACTGTTTTTTTTTTTATTTGATATAAACCAAAGACAGTATAGCTCAATTTCTTTCAACACAGTCATGGAACAAAATTTTTTTCATTCTTCTTACTGTCCATCCAAAATAAAGACCCCCAGATTAGTTTTTATGTAAATAACCTGCGATCTACAGGAATTCAAAATGTCACAGTCCCTTAATTAGTCCAACTCAGAATAGCTAGAGGGTCTCAAGTAATTGCAGAATTTATCACTAAAATAGACAGGAGAAAGTAATTTCATCACAGGTTTTTACAGTCCAGCAAAGGCCAAGGAAGTATAGTGTGTAAGTTAACAGTATTTGTGTTGAGCTATGTGGGGTTAGTGGAATCTAGAGGAATAAACTGAAATAATTTTGGGGTTTATCAAGCCTAAGATGCATATTTGTTTGCATCTCATACTGACTTAAAATAAGATTGGTCAGATATTTATCTGCCAAAACAAGGATAAATCTTGTTTTATTAATAGCAGCGTCACTTCTCATTTTCTTTGCTCAGTGACTCACCTTTTTACTGAGCAGTTGTGAATTTGTCTGAAGAAATATAATATAGAAGTACAAGAAGAAAACAAATGTACAGATTGTAAAGTTTTTTTGATACCGAATGTAAGTTTTCTTTGTGTAATATTTATATGATAAAAGATATTAGGATCCCTACAAATGATTGTCTTGTGTTTCTTTTACTTCATGAATATGTAGAAACTTCACCGGAATATTTACTATAATTCATAGCCAAGTCCATATCCCTATTTTATTAACCAGTTTCCCTGGGAAAAGCAAAGCGACTATTCAGTTTAGATTTTTCTAAATCTTTTTACAATATGAAGAGGTAAGAGCATGGAAATTGTCAACCTCTTTCTATCTTATTCATAATTTACAGTGATCCCCAAATATTAAGTCTATAAATACTTAACATTAAAGGAGACAAACGTGAGGCTGTCATTTATCTGAAGATTTTGTCTTTAATTCCACAGTTTTATCTAAGCAAACTAGCAGGTAAAGAAGAGAGACTTTGAAGCTTAGGATAAAATTAGTAGAAAAAGGCTTCATTCAATATACAGGCCCACCCAGAGCAATTCATTTGTGGCCATGATTATTTAGAATGATGAGAAATAGCCTTAACTTTCCCTTAATTCCCAATTTTTGTTTAATCAGACTAATGGAGAAAGGGGTTCAGTCACTCAAATTCCACTGTGGAATGTGTCCTAGTACTTTTGGAAGGGGGTGTATTTATCATTTTGGCAATTCATGATACTTCAGGCAAAATAAAGATGTCGTCACACTGACCCTGGAGGAGAGCTTAAATTGGTCCTTCACCTTCTCCCCCAGTTCTCATCCCCAAATATCTGTAGCCTGTGCTCTTACAAGGTATAGATAGTATCACTGCCCAGGACATTTTTTCGTGGCCACAGATCTTTTTTAGGTTGTCATACTTTCTTTTGTCACAAATACAGGTAACAAAATGTTTGGTTTAAAATGTTTGTTTGTTTGTTTGTTTGAATGAGGCAAGGTTTCCCTGATGTCCAAAACTAAAGCAAACAGTTTCAAAGAAAACACCTATTTCCCTTCTGGTGAGTGCTGATGAGTAATGGTGTGGTGATTATTATACAGACAGGGCATATATTCTTTATATGGTCCGGAGGAAAGGTCAGTTACTACTTTAATGCAGAAACTCCCAGCAAGATCATGTCTGTAGGTGCTGTTAGGTACCAGGCAGGACAAAGACAGGGAGAAGAAAAAAGAGGAAGGAAAATGAGGTAATAGGAAAAAATGATATTGAGAACCAGGCAAAAAGGAATGAAGAGGAGATAAAAAAAAATTTATTAGATTTTAGGAGGCAGTGAAATGCCACTCAACATACTGTACATTGTACTGCACTCAACTTATAAAATGTTTTCACATTATGGCCTTCTACATTAAGGCATCACATTGCCTCATTGCCTTATTGCTATTCTAGATAATGCTCAGCAAACTGTTCTACAAAAGACAGTCTTACTGAACAAAGATTATCATGAAAATTCCACCTTAGGGAAAAGAGTAAAAGATTAAGGTCTAGACAACTCGGTTCTTCATCCAAGTAAGGTTTATAGGAATGTGTAAATAGGAGTGATTTCACTCCAACATGATTCCAGGAACAAGTGCTAAGCATGGATAAGATTTATATGATTGCAGTGAATAAACTAAACAGTACTCCTATGAAGATATGAAGAAATCTTATAAAAATGGATAAACTATCATTCCTGCCACATTTACCATAAACCTTTAGTGGTTAAAAAAAAAAGGTCAAAAGTCGCTGTAAATTCCCTTTCTGTGTCAGCAATTAATGCTCCCAAAAAAGAAAAGAAGGATTGTAAGTGTTTTAAATGAAGATTTTTAAACTAATAACTCTTTTGAAATATTTTACTCAAATAGTGTTTTGCTTATATAATTTTTAAAAATTACTTTTCAGAGTTCATAGCTACCAATAAAGGTGTTTTCTTAATTATGGAAAAAACTATCACAAATGAAATTGTCTTTTCATTAAATATAAACACACAAAAAAACAAGTTTCCAAATAACCAAAAAAATCGATGTTTTCTTATCCTAAACACATTTCCAAAGGGTTAGCTTGAAAAACACATCTCCAAAGGGTTAGCTTGAAAAATACATTTGTAGACAACAGTCTATATGCAGTCTCACAACTAAGTTCACGAATTCATCCTAGACAAAGTGCTACATACCTCAGTGCTGAATATCACTATGGTCACCTTCAAAGTACTCCCCTTGGGAAGCTATGCGCCGATGCCAGCACGTAGTCCACCTGTCAAAGCAATTTTGGAACTCTTTTTCCGGAATGGCCATCAGAGCTGTCATCGCAAGAATGTCAGAGTTTAAATTAGAGCAATGAACAAATATTAAATTTCTTGTTAAACTTGGCAAGGGGAGAAGTGAAATCAGGGACATGTTAGTCCAAGTTTATGGGGCAATGCAACGATGAAAAACAGCAGTGTACAAATGGATTAAACATCTTTCTGAGAAGAGGGCAAGCTTCACTGATGAGAGGTCAGGAAGGCCAGTAACGAGCAGAACTGGTGAAAACATTAAAAAAATTCATTGAATTGGGTGTCAAAATAATCAGTTGACTGTGAGAAGCATAGCAGACCAAATAAAAATCGATAGAGAAACAGGAAAATCTTAACTGAAAATCTTGGCATGAAAAAGGTGTGCAAAAATGATCCCGAAGTAGTTCCTGCATCATGACAATGCACCAACTCACTCAGCACTGTCTGTGAGGGAGTTTTTAGCCAATAAACAAATAACTGTATTGGAACACCCCTCCCCACTCACCTGATCTGGCCCCCAGTGACTTTTTTCTTTATCCAAAGAATATTTATCCAAAGACAGGAAATATTGAAGGAAGATATTTTGATGACATTCAGGATATCAAGGGTAATAAGACAACAGCTCTAATGGCCACTCCAAAAAAAAAAAAAAAAAAATTCAAGATTGCTTTAACGTGTGGACTAGGTGCTGGCATCACTGCATAGCTTCCCAAATGAAGTACTTTGAAAATGACCATAGTGATATTCAGTAGTGAGGTATGCAGCACTTTTTCTAGGATGAGTTCCCGAACTTAATTGTCAGACCTCATATGATATTTGCTTTTAGAGTTTTAACATTATTTTAGAGGCTACCACAAAATTTATCATAAAGCAAAAACACTAACAAAAAACCTGTCAAACATCAAATGCCATTTGTCTACTGGTAACAATTCTGTCTGAGTTGGTTAGATCATACAAAGTTATTATTAAGCACAGGTATTGACTAGGAGTCTACAATGAGATACAGATTTTATGATAACATTTTTTTTAAATGGTGTAACCAGCTCTTTTTAAATCTAACTTTCTATACTAAGAGAAAAATTGCATTACTTGGCCCACCTCTTAAACCATTCACAATAGGCCCTCTATAAATTTTCAACAAATTGCATTTGTACTTAGGTCTTTATGAAACAACCTGAGAAGGCGCCAAGTATCCCATTCCTCATTTGACAAATAGAATAAATCAGTCATTGGAAACTAAAGTCATATAAAGCCAACAGCACTTCTGGCCTAGTGCCATGATTTGAACACAACTCTTAATACCCAAGCCTTTGTTCCAAATACCAAGCCACATATAAACATTCTCTAACCCTGTGTTTCCAAAATCTAGCTGTGAATCAGAATTACCAAGGGATGCCTTAGCCCTACCTCTGATCCACTGAAGTTGGAAATTACTGCCTTAATCCTGTGTTAAACAGCTCAGCCTGCCTTTTAACATTTGGATATTTAAAGTGAGGGCACGAATGAAGAGACCAGTTTATAGGAATATTTGTCACACCATCAAGTAAAATTGGTATGTGTCTATCCCATTAAAGTAATTCTGACTTCAGTCTTTACCTTTGCTTTGTCAAACAAAAATCATTCAGATTTCAAATTCAATTAGAAAACAAATTTGCATAGCAAAATGTAAACTTGGGCTTCAATTTATGAAACTTTAACAGAAACCTGGACAGAGGAATCTTCTATAAAAGAAAAAAATAAATCACGACAATTACCTACTGAATACAACTATAAGTCTCCTTCCCTATTTTGTAAAGTAGGACAAAGAAACATGAAACACAAAACACATCCACAGGCATACAGATAAGGCAAGAGTCTATATTCCTTTCCATTACATTTGGGCCATTTATGTGCCTTAAACCTGAACAAAATTCAGGTAACAGTCTAAAGTCAATCATGACAATAAAATACTGTCCATTTTCTAAGTTGGATGGTAATAAATATTTACATTTTTAAAAATAATTTTTGTTCTTTTTTTTGTTTTTTAAAAAGACACAACATGCTCAAGGGTAGACAGAATATGGAAAAATCATCACTTCATCTGAGAGATCAACTGGTAATATAAAACAATGTCCTTATATCTTAATCCAATTCAACAATAGTATCATCAGGGAGTCTAACATGGTGTTTACTTCAAAGATGATATTCAAGTCTGTTATTTAGAACACTATGTTTAATGCATCTATCAAGAAGTAAGCACTGCTATCTAATTTCTGTTGTTTTTAGTATCTTCTATATCCACCACCACCACCTCCTCCTCCATATGGATCTCCATAGCCTCTTCCACCATAGCCCCCTCTCCCACCATAGCCCCCTCTCCCACCATAATCTCCCCTGCCTTGGAAACCTCCTCTACCACCACCTCCACCTCCCCATCCTCCTCCCCCTCCGCCACCACCTCCCCAACCTCCTCCACCTCCCCAGCCATCTCTTCCACCCCCACCACCTCCTCTACTTCCACCACCACCCCAACCACCCCTTCCGCCGCCGCCTTCTTGTCTTTTTTGCCATGGGGGCATTTCTGGGGGTGGTGGCTCAATTTCATTTGGCCGTCCTCCCCTGTCAGGCACCCTTCCCATCAGCACCTGTTTGAAGAAAGAAACATTTTCTTTTAGTTTCTAATATTTTAAAAATTAGAATTTACATAAAAGTTTCAAGGGATAGTAAAGTTATTTCTAATAAACAGAAGTCAGATATTTAAGGACATGAAGGTATTAGACATGGCAGTACACATTAACATTAAAAATATAAGCATGGGGGGGATAAGGAGAGATTTGTTAAAGGAAAAAATTTTAGCTAGATAAATAAGTTCTAGTGTTTATATCACTGTATGATGACTATAGTTAACAATAATATATAGTTTCAAATATCTAGGAGGATACCTAATGTTTCCAACACACAGAAATGATACATGTTTGAGATGATAGACATGCAAATTACCCTGATCTCTTCACTATACATTGTATGTATCAAAACATCATTAGGTACCCAATAAATATGTACAATAATTATGTTTCAATTTTTAAAATATTTTTTTAAAAAAGGAAGTATGAAAAAATGTGTTACATATGACAAATTCTCAGAATGTGGTATTTTTTTAAACAATCTGGGGGAATGTTTCTAAAACTGAAGGCTTAATTTTCTTTCACTTAAATTTGTTTAACAAATTCTATAACAAATGTAGTACCCATCTCACTAAGAAATTTCTTTAGCAAAACATTTTCAATATGCATTGACTACATACCCTACATTCATTAACTTCATATCCATTTATACAACAATAATTCTGAACTTTCCATTGCCATTGATGTGGAAAGGATTATCCAATGAAAGACTGAACACTTTTATTTCAACAAAGTATGAAGTATATATAACATGAGGATGCAGTGAGGTCAGAGATAAATATACCTATAATCTCAGATATTACTATAAGGAAACACAAAAGATTCTCAATGAACTATTCCTTTCTTTGGAGAAACAAGCTCACATACTTGCAGTGATGATACTAGTTATTCTAAGAAAAAGAGTTGATATACTTCCTTAGTCATGTTTTACAATACTTTGAAAAATAAACCAAGAAAGAGTTTAGTTTAAGTACCCAACCTGCAGTAGAAAGGAATTACTTTATATACTCCTGAGCAAAGGGAAAGACAGACAGTTGTGAGGAGGGTATCATTCACCCACCACAGCCAAGTGGAAACCAGTAGCTTCCTGCTAGTGTCTTTTAGAAAAGCATGTAAAGCAGCAATTGCTTCATTCAAAATGACAAAAGAATCCATTGGATTCCACTTCCTTTGATCCTCTAATCAAAATCATGTTTAGGAATTTATGTCAAAAATGAAAGACAAAAAATACAACATCCTCCCTGTGGGACAAGGCTCTAAATATGCAAACAAATATTCTTTTAAAGTTGGCAATAATATCTATCATATCTAATTACCAAATCCAAAAAAGAGCTTTCTGTAGTATTCTCATTGGTCTCACTACCAAACATGGTATGCTGGTAGGCACATGGAGATGCTAGAACTGATCATAAGATTACCCTCAAATAACTGGACTATTAATTATAAGTTCATTCATAAAACCAGAACTCTTGATCAAGTAAGACTAAATTATAACCAGTAAGACTAAACTTGAACCCAATGCAAGATACTAGGTAATATATTTCAAGAAAGGACACTTTCAGAACACTTTCAGAAGGCACACTTTCAGAAGGTGGAGGGAGATGATCCAAAATGGAAGCAAACACTGGCAATGCCTCACTGAGCAATAATTAGCAAACAGACTTTAAAAACAACCATCTCTCTGGCAAAAAGTATCCTATCTCAAGCTATACTGAGAAAAGATGCTTTAAAATTATCCAAATTCCTTGTTTCTGATTTTTTGCTATTTTGTAAGAAGGTTTGCCATGGAGTGTCTTACCTAAATGGAGAGAACATGCTAGTTGGGCTCACATAAACATTCTAGATTAGTTTATTTTTATTATTGCTGGTGTAAAGCAAAAAATTCAGAGTCCTTGAGCTTGTTTAATTTATAGTTCTCTATAAATTATACTATTAGAGAAATGGATCTATACTCTGAATCAGGAAGCAGACGCTCAAAAAGAGTCAGTAACTTGCCCAGGGCAATTCCTCTAAGTAAATGATAGAGCTAGGATGTGAACCCAGGTTGGTTTGACTCCAAAGCATGTACTCTTCCTACCTGCACACCAAGGCTATAAGGAGTCTCTTAGTACTTGAAAGAATTTCTAAAGCACTTTTTTCTTAATGACAAAAAGTGATTACTTTTTAGAAATAAGGTAAATAATTCTTGCTAAAGCTATTGATAAAACTTCAGATGAGGATATTTTAAGTTCACTCTCCACTGTGCTGAAAGAAAAACCAACCTTATTAATGGCACATGCTGTTTTCTCCCGAGTAGTGCCGCTACTTGTCCTAATGATCTTGGATAGATCTTCACGAGCAGCAAGTAGATGCGCCATTGTGATAGTTGTCTTAGGTGACAAAGCATAACGTTTAGGCTGGTAAATTCTTGCTATGTCATCTGTTTTTACCTAAATGACAAAAGTTATGGAAAAAGAACAAAAGTAAATTTTAATGAAAGAATGATAACAATCATAATCTTCAGAAAGAAGGAAAAAGGGGTAAAGGCACAAACAAGAAACCAGAAAAGAGCAAAAACATCCAAGTATCTGATAATTTTTATGTAGAATGAAAAAATTAAACCAACAGATGCTAAAAGAATATATAACTACCAACAATTCATCAAAAAATAACAAAAAAGTCACTCTTCATATAAACAAAAGACCTAAAAATAGTTTTACAAAAAACACATACAGGAACTTTAAAAAGAAATTATCATTAAATCTTGCAAAAACAAAAGGGAAACATAAAAAATGGTAAGAAGTAATAAATTTCTAGATGGGGACATTACATATTACTGTCAGTTTTCCCCACAATTAACTTATAAGCCTATTGAAATGAGTTTTGGGAGAATTTTTTAAAAATCTAAAATTAATCCATAAAATAAATATGTAAGAATGACTAAAAGCGTTTTTTTAAAAAAAGAGTCCAAGTCAGATGCAGTGGCTCATGCCTATAATCCCAACACCTTGGGAGGCTGAGGTGAGAGGATTGCCTGAGCCTAGGGGTTCGAAACTAACCTGGGCAACTTGGCACGACCTTGTCTCTACTATAAAAATCAAAAAAATTAGGAGTAATGGCATGCATCTGTGGTCCCAGCTACTTGGGAAGCTGAGGCAGAAGGATCACCTGCACCCAGCAGGTTGAGGCTGCGATGGCCATGAGCATGTCACTGTACAACAGCCTGGGCACAGAGTGACTCCAACTTAAAAAAACAAAAAACAAAAAAGAGTCCTGCCAGATACTAATATGCAATATGAAATTATCATTGCTTTAACAGTTAATATTTAATGAGCATTTATTAAATGTGCCAGGATGCTGTTTACTTCGTAAAACATTATCTTTTTTCAATGTTTACATCATATGCTAGATTCAAGGAGTAGATGTGCAAGTTTGTTTCACAGGTATAGGCATTATTTCTTTAATCTTCAAAACATCCTTTTAGGGTAGTTAGTGTTTATTGTACCCTTTTGCAGATGGGGAAAAAAATGAGGCATAGGAAGCTTAAGTTATTTTCCCCAAAATATAGAAAGGATCACACCTCTGCTCACATACTAATAAAGGCCTACCTGATCCGCAAGCACATACAGATAACAGTGCACTATCCTATTTCAGTCTACCTAATTAGAACTTGGGAGAAAAAAAAAAAGATTGATGAAATAAAAGTAAATTGAGATTCAGAGCTTCATAAATATATGAATGCATAGATTATAAGGCATCACAATCAATAAGAACTATTTTTTTAAATAGTGCTGAAATGAACTGATGGCTCTCTATAAAAAAATGATAACAACAAGGCACACTGTATATAACAAAGGAAATACCAAACAGAATAAAGAGTTAATTGAGGTTTTATTTTAAATTTTAAAATTTAACATTATAAAAATTAAAATTTCAATACTTCATAATCTAAACAAAGTATAACCAAAATCTAAACACAACTGAAGGAAATATTTTCATTAAATAAGGCAACTAGCAAACTTCCTTAATATACAAAAGGCTCAAACAAATGGAAAACAAGACTCTATAGGAAAAACAAAGTCAAAATAGAAACACAAGTTTCAAAAAAAGATAATTAAAATGACTAATAAGTTTATGGGAAAAACTTTAACTCTGCCAATAATACTATGCAAATTAAAACAAGTTAATCCTTTTTAACCATCAAGTTAGCAATACAATTCATAATGCTCTAATAATTAAAGAGGCTAAAATGAGACAAAATTTCATTTACCCTAATGGTAGGAGTTTAAATTCATACTAACTTTATGGAAAACAATTTAACCATGGGAATCAAGAACATGAAGAGTCATAAGCTTTGCCATAGTACATTTCCGTTTAGGAATCCACCTTAATAATATACTTTGAAATTTACGTATAAAATTTATAGGCCGGGCTCAGTGGCTCAGCCTGTGATCTCAAAACTTTGGGAGGCCAAGGTGAATGGATTGCCTGAGGTCACAGGTTTGAGACCAGCCTAGGCAACTTGGCGAGACCTCATCTCTACAATAAATAAAAAATTAGCCGGGCGTGGTAGCACACGCCTGTAGTTCTGGGTACTTGGAAGGCTGAGGCAGAAGGATTGCTGGAGCCCAGCAGGTTGACGCTGGGGTGGCCGTGAGTGTGCCATTGCACTCCGGTCTGGGCAACAGAGTGAGTCTCCAACTCAAAAAAAAAAAAGATTATATATAAGAACATTCCTGATGTTAGTTAATACAGGAAAAAAATATATAAAATATTAGATCTGGGAATATTATTGAATCACTGTAGGATAAAATATAATGCAGCTATAAAAAGGATGCTGAGAGGAACAAGGTACTGTTGCATGCTACAATATGGATGAACTTGAAAACATTATGCTAAGTGAAAGAAGCCAGACACAAAAAGTCACATATTCCATTTATATAAAATATCTAGAACAGGCAAATCCATACAGACAGAAAGTATATTATAGTAATGGTTGCCAGGGACTAGAGGTAGGGAATATTAGGCATGACTGCTGAGGGGTGCATACATCATTCTGGGTTGATGGCAATGTTCTGGACTTACATATCAGTAGGGGTTACACAACACAGTGAATATACTAAAAACCACTGAATTATACATTTTGAAATGGTAAATTTTATGTTAATTATATCTCAAAAACAAAAAAAATTTTTTTAAGAGTATTGAAATACAGCTTTTAGAGATATTGGACAATGAGCACAATATATTTAGTGGAAAAATTATAAAATTATACTCAGAGTATTATCTTAACATTACCAAAATAACAGAGAAAAGAAACTAGATTAACCTTACTGATGAATGGGTATAATCTTTTTGAAGGGCACCTCTGGAGTATGCATCAAAAGCCTTAAAACCATATTCTTTAATAAAGAAATTTCCTATTTAAGAATATATCATGGACATGAACAAAAATTTAACTACCAAAAATTTCATTAAAGGATCAAACAAGAGACAAATATTAGAGAAAACCTCAATGTCTATCAATAGAGAGTGTGTGTGTGTGTGTGTGTGTGTGTGTGTGTGTGTGTGTACACCTATGTATATATGTATATATGTGTGCATATATATAAAATAATATTTAATGACAGTCACTCAGCAATATGAGACATATCTTTCTACCATGAAAATAGGGAAGAAATGATAAAGATATAGTCTTACTCTGTCACCCAGGCTGGAGTAGAGTCATACATTCACTGCCACCCTGGCAGTCCTTCCACCTCAGCCTTCCAAGTAGCCGAAACTACAGGCATGCGCTACCACACCCGGTTGATTTTTGATTTACTATAGAGACGAGGTCTCACCAAGTTGCCCAGGCTGGTTTCAAACCCGCAGGCTCGGGCAATCCACTCGCCTCAGTCTCCCAAACTGCTAGGATTACAGGCTGAGACACTGAGCCCGGCAAAAAGTTTCCATTTTCATTCAAGAAGCTAGTATATCCAAAAACAAGAAAAGCCATATGAAAAAAGAAAACTAAGAATCAAAAATAATTCATAGAAATTTTTAAAATGACTGTAGAGGCCAGGCATGGTAGCTCAAGTCTGTAATCCCAGCACTTTGGAAGGCCAAGGCGAAAAGATTGTCTGAGCTCAGAGGTTCAACACTAACCTGGGCAACTTGGTGAGCTCTTGTCTCTTAGATAGATAGATAGATAGATAGATAGATAGATAGATAGATAGATAGATAGACAGACAGACAGACAGGCCAGGCGTGGTAGTTCATGCCTGTAGTTCCTGCAACTTGGAAGGCTGAGGTGGAAGGATCGCTGAGTCCAGCAGGTTGAGGCTGTGGTGGCTGTGAGCATGCTACTGCACTCCAGCCTGGGTGACAGAGTGAAACTTTGACTCAAAAAATAAAACATTTAAATAAATAAATTTAAATAAATAAACAAAAATAACTGCAGAAACACAAATTCAGCACCAAGCACAAAATAAAATTGAAGACATTTCCAAGAAAGTGAAATAAAAAGGGAAACAGATGGAAAATGAGAAAAAAAAAAAAAAACAACTTAAGCAGGTCTACCCAGGATATCCAATATCTGACTACTAATAAAGAGTTTCAAAGAGAACAAAGAAAACAAAAAAGAAGAAATTAATAAAGAAAAATATAAAAGCTGAAAGAGTCTACAGAATTTCTAAGGGGGAAAGTATACAGAAAATGGAGAACTTATTAGTTCTAATTTTTAAAACTATACTTAAAAAGAACAAAAGCATATTATCATTAGAAGACCTAATTTTTAAAAGTATACTTAACATATTGCCATATTACAGAAATACAACAAGAAAAAATAAAATTCCATTAGAAGGAAGATGAAACATCTGTAGGTTGACTGGTCCCCCAAAGATGCCCATGTCCTAATTCCTGGAACCTATGAATGTTTTCTTTGCAGATGCAGATGTGGTTATGTTAAGCATCTTGAGAAGGAAAGATTATCCTTTCTGAATTGTGTAGGCCTTATATAATCACAAACCCTTCTAAGAGAGAGACAAGAATGTCAGAGACAGGCGAAGGTTATATGACAATGGAAGCAGAGAGAGAAAAAAATGTGAAGATTGTATCAAGTTACTGGCTTTGAAGATAGAAGATGAGGCCAAGAGCCAAAATATGCAGTGGCATTTAGAAGCCAGGAAATACAAGGAAACAGATTCTCACCTAAAGCATCCAGGAAGAATGCAACTCTACGTTTACTTCAGATTTCTAATCTCTAGATTTTAAGAGAAAAAATCTGTATTATTTAAGCTACTAAATTTGTGGCAATAGCTACAGCAACCACAGGAAATTAATACAAGACACCACACAGAACGAGAGACCATGTGAAATCCAAGAAGAGAATGGACGCACCAGAGCAGCCAGCACCAAGAATCTAGGTATGTGAGAAAACCATCTTGGATGTTACAGCTCAGCCTAGGCATGAGATGAATGAAACTGTAATAACTGACCCCAACTGATATCACAAGGGAAAGAACAACTACCCAGTTAATTTTTTAAAAATGTAACAATACCTGAATTTTCACTTGCAACCAAGATAGAGTAACAGACATCAGATTTATTCCCACCTGAAACAACTAAAAACTGGATAACCCAAGTGAACCAATGACTGTCAGACACTGGACATCAAGGAACACAGGACAGTGTTCCCAGAGTGAGGTGAAGCCCTATAATGGTCCCAGGCTTACTGCCCAGAGAGTTTCCAGGCTAGGATGCAGGGTGGGGTGGGTGGGAGAGCAGGCAGGGAGATAGTCCCAGAATAAGCCTGGGTATAGATTAAAGACAAGATGGGAGTAACGGGAAACAGCTCTCCAGAAAACCACCTGAAGAGATTCATATTTGAGAATGCCTCTACCTCACAACCCCTTGTTCAACTGGAACACCCCCCACATTCATCCAGTCTAAAAGCACTTTTAATAAGACTTGTTGACATCTGTATTACCTGTACATATACTTATGCCCCATTTTCTTGACAAGTTGTTTACTATATCTTTCTCACTATCTCATTTGATAGCCCTTCTTTTATGCACAACCAGGCAAAAATCACATCTATGAGTTTTAAATAATGTCAAAGATTTGAGAAAAAATTAAGTTATTTGCAACATGGATTTATACAAGACCAGGATCATCATATATGACCAGTAGTTGGCCTGGCCATGAAATTAAAGTGGTGATAAAGTGCAAATCTGGCATAATTACATATGTAGTATCAGACAAGCCAGCCAGAAGAGCTGTCATAGGCTACCACCTACAGGACACAAATGGGAAAACAGCCTTACCTTTGCTCTATCAGACCATCCAAAGGACTGTACTGTCACATCTAATCGTTTCATTAACATTCGCCGACGACACTCATATTCACAGGAAAGAGCATCATTGATTCTTTCCAATTGTTCCTAAAGAATTTGGAAACAAAAATCACAAACTTTGGACTCTCATTCCGCACAGAAAAGAAATTTGAAAACTGTGCTAAGTAATTCCTACTGATTCAAAAGATATTGTTCTTCATGACTATTTTCACAAATATTACATGAGACATTATGGTAAATTATTTAAATAATAACGTATCTGATAGAACATTTATGATATTCAGAAAATATTAAACATATAAATTAAACTCTACCATTGGTAAAGCTTACCTTATCTTTAATCAAACATGTTAATTTAAGTAAAAATTTACTTGCTAAGTAGTCTGGACCAATGAGGAACAAATATACCAGCAACTTCTCATCTTGGCTAGCCACTAGCCTTTTCAAATCACAACGTGCTAATATACTGGACACCATAAAATTCTTGGTCAAGTATTTTTTTAAATTAATAATTTGATTGAAAAAATGTTAGGCCATATTCCTCCAGAATATCAATCCATTCTAATTCTCCAGAATAATATACATATAGTAAAATCGAATCATGTATAAAATTAAGACACATTTACTAATTTAATTACATAAAAGCAATAAGAAAGGGGGATTTACCGCCTGTTCCGAATTTAAGTCAATTTTCAGCAGTGATTTTCCCACATGATTTTTCTGGACTTTTGAGAGAATATCTTTCACCTAAAAGTAAATATAAAAATTGTAAAAATGTATGCCTATCTGTAATTTTAAAAAATATTATTCTTGTTTAAAGCATTGTTCTGAACACTAGAGAATAAAATGTTCAAGCGACATAATTAAAATATACTTTCACACACCACAAAAAAATTACAATACAGAATAGCTTTTTCAAAAAAAAAAGCACCAGTTATATTCATTCAAGTTATAGAACAGCTTCTTTCTCACAGTAAGAAATAGTGTACATAGACAAGTAAAGATGTATCTATTAAAAGGTTCCACTCTGAGAATCTGTGTCTTAGTGAAATAATTTTGGAATTATCACTTAAAATGGCACTTTCTTACTTCCTGAAAAATTTTCAAGAGGGATGCTAAAACCTTTGACCAGCAAATTGATTTCTCAGAAAAGTACTATGTACACATTCCAGTTGTAAGGATTCTGCTTTTGTTGATCAGCAAGACAACATAAGAGAACAAGCAACAAACCTTCTCTTCTCTCTTGATTACAATCACCATATCACATTTTCATTACTTTTGCAAAACCACTAATTTAAATTACTTAAACTTTTATTTTGTAAACAAGAAATTAGACATTTACTTTTCATTTAGCAATATTGGGGATCATTCTAAAAAGAGTAACTTTAACTGCAGAATTAATTTACTTTCCTAATTGGAGAATCCTTCACTGGCTAAAAAAAAAAAATTCAAAATCAAAATCTTTATAGCTTCCGAGTTATAAGAAAATCAGAGGAAACAATCAACGGAGGTTCAGATTTTGAGGAGCATGAAACTTATTTGACTTTGAGGGTACTCTTTAAGAGAAAGAATTCACAATTAGCATGGAAGCTGGGGTGACAATGGGGGAGTAACTGTAAAAGGGTACAAGGTTTCTTTTGATCATGATGGATTTTGGTGATGGTTGTACAACTCTGCAAATATACTAAAATTCACTGAATTTTAAAATGGGCTATTTTATGGAATGATTATACTTCAAGAAAGGTATTTTTTTTCATCAGTCTAGAACCTGTACAAATGAGGGGCCCTAAAGCTTAAGCTTCTTAGCGTCATAGCAAATTTACCTCTATCATGATATAATTACTGTAGTGATACAATTTTTATATCTTTTAAGAAAGTATTAACTTATTTTTCTCAAAACAGACCATTTCTGTAGATTCCCTACTATTGCAAGTATCTCCAATTTTATGTTATTTCAAAAATTCCTGAAAGTATTAGTTGTAACTCCCAACTCAAGAATTCTGAATGTATACTTGTCATTTCTTTTTTTTTTTTTGAGTTGGAGTCTCACTCTGTCGCCCAGACTGGAGTGCAGTGGTCGCTCCCGGCCACTGCAGCCTCGACCTGCTGGGCTCTGGCGATCCTTCCGTCTCAACCTTCCAAGTAGCTGGAACTACAGGCGCACGCTACCACGCCTGGCTAATTTTTTTTATTTATTGTAGAGATGAGGTCTCGCCTGCCCAGGCGGGTCTCGAACCCGCAGGCTCAAGCAATCCACTCACCTCAGCCTCCCAAAGGCGCGGGATTATAGGCTGAGCCACCGAGCCCGGCTACTTGTCATTTCTTAACATGTAATCATGGTCAACTCCATTCCTAGGATTTCAACATTACATAACAGTTTTAACAAGTTTGTGAATTACTTGTTAAAAAGTTAAGAGTATAGACTCTGGAAGTTGACTTCTTGGGTTCAAAACTCGGGTCTACCACTATTTAGAAACTTGATTATTTAGGTTATTCAATATTTCAGTACCTCAGTTTCCTCACATGGCTGTTTTAGGTAATAAAAATACCTACCTCACATGGGTGAAGTGAGAATTAAATGAGTTATTACATGTAAACATTCAGAACAATAAATGCTATATATTTGCTGTGAATATTACTAGAATTACTTTATACATTTAAACAGCTTCAAGTTAGAAAATAATTTTCTTCCCCTATTGTGACAAGGTCTCTTCTGGACAAATTGCATGTAGAAGAGAGAAAGTATGGAAAGTTTTACTTTTGATAGAAATTGAAAGGAGTAGAAAGGGCTTTTAGGTAAATATTTAGCCAAGATGGCCATAGTACAACTACCTTATAATTAATCTGACAGTATTTGAACATAGGCATTATAGTCTATTTCAAGTAGGGAAATAAGGGATTTGAGAATGTTGTCAACACTCACTGAAAACCATAAAATGGAAAACCTCTTTGGGAAGCACCAGAAGATCTGGAAAAGCCCAGAAATCTGTCTCAATCTGAAAGAGTCTCAGAAATTTTAGCCAACCCCAGATCATTCTTAACCCAGAAAAAAATATTAAAACATTATGAAGAGTAACTTGTTAACTCTAGAAAAATGTTTTCCGAGCTAAGATTCAGATTTATTCTGTGGCATGAGTTCTAAAAAAACAATTTTTTTATTACTGTTTTTTTCTTAATGATACTAACGATAAGCCAAACCTTATTTTTCCATTCATAAATTATCAATGCAAATGAGATCTTTATTGAACAGGATTTAGTTTAAGGCAGTGTGTCTAAAACTGGAATTAGTAGAACAAGCATATAGACCAATGGAACAGGATAGAGATTCCAGAAGCAAAGCCTCAATTTCTCAACCAAGTCATCTTTGACAAAGCCTCCAACAACAACTACTGGGGAGAAAGAACCTATTCAGTAAATGGTGCTGGCCATATACAAAAATTAACTCTAAACGGATCAAATACCTAAATGTAAAACCTCAAACTATAAGAATCTTAGAAAACGCAGGAGACATCCTTATGGAAATTGGAACTGGCAACCAATTTCTGATCAAAACCCTAAATGCCCATACCATAAGAAATAGGATAAACAAGTGGGACCTCATCAAGCCGACAAACTTCTGCAAAGCAAAAGAAACCATCAAGAGAGCAGGGAGACAGCCCATAGAATGGGGGAAAATATTTGCCAACTGTATATCTGACAAAGGCCTAACATGTAGGATCTAAAAGGAACTCAAACACGCCGAAAAGAAAAAAGCAAATAGCCCCATTAAAAAGTGGGCAAAAGACATGAATAGACACTTCTCAAAAGAAGACATACAGGCGGCCAACAGACACATGAAAAAGTGCTCAGCCTCACTCATCATCAGAGAAAGTCAAATCAAAACCACATTGAGATACCACCTAACTCCAGTAAGAATGGCCATCATTAACAAGACAAACAGCAACAGATGCTGGCAAGGATGCAGAGAAAAAGGAACATTTCTACACTGCTGGTGGGAATGCAAACTAGTGCAACCTCTTTGGAAGACAGTGTGACAATTTCTGAAAGAACTAGAAATTGACCTTCCATCTGACCAAACAATCCGCCACTGGGAATATACCCAGAGGAATGCAAATCATTCTACCAAAAAGATACCTACACACGCAGGTTTGTTGCAGCTCTATTCACAATAGCAAAAACATGGAACCAACCATGCAGCCCATTAAAGCTGGACTGGATAAAAAAAAATGTGGTACATATACACAATGGAATATTATGCAGCCATAAAGAAGGACAAACGTATGGTCTTCGCAGCAACTTGGATGGATTTAGAGTCTATCAGTGATCTATCACAGAAACAAAGAACAGAGTACCATATGTTCTCACTTATAAGTGGACCTTCAACAATTTTCATAATACTATAAGAAAAGGATTGGCAGTAGTGGGAAACTGCTGGGGGGGGGTGGTGAGGCAGTTGAGGGGAAACTGCCAGGGGAGGGAGGGGAACATCTCATCAACAAGAGTACCTGCATAATGAACATTTGTACACCTAACCCTGAATTGTACTTCACACCTTTAAAATGAAATTTAAAAAATTTTTTAAAAGAGCGAGAATTTTCTTTTTCTTTAAAATGAATCCTGTATTATTCCCCTAGAGGACTCGGTATTCAACAGAACCCTAGGAACTAGGCCAAAATACTCTCTGCAAGAGTAGCATGCCCTCTAATATATAGCTTGATTGGAAACAAGGGTAGGTTAATAACTGAAAAAAAATTTTTTAAATGCATGAGATACATAGTTTGGTTCTTTTCAACTACTCCATCAGGGTACTCAGTCATTTCTTCATTCATCCACTCACTACAGAACACACAAAATACTTATCCACCAAAAACTGTGTATGTTCACTGCCAAAGAAGCCACCCTGTAACTGTTACCAATATCCATTTTTTTTTAAGAAAAAAGCTTAGTTTCCTTTTGACTCTGTAGTATAGCTCTACTTGTTTCATTATTCTGCATTACAACCCAGGTTAGGAAAGTGATCCTTAAATTTGCTAAGTGATGTCTATCATGGCAAAGTCTAGCAAAGCCTCAGGGTAGTCACTCATTAAGATGTGATTTTTGAATATCAGTTATAGACAAATTAGGTCACATGCATATTAAGTCCAAATCCAAAATTTGGTTTAAATGAAATAAACTCTTGAAATGAAATATATATCTTATACTTAAAGAGAGTATTTTCATTTTTAATACAGCATTTACATGTTAGCATTTAGTTAAGTTTTGAAAAAATAAAACTAAAACAAATATAATACCTTTGATTCCACTTGGTTTAGCATAAATGGAATGTCAGAAATTGTTGACTTGGGTACACCAAGGGTCTCACACATAGCTTGAACTTCCTGATAAATTTCACTATTTTTATCTAATTGAGAATTTTTACGTTTCTTGTTCTGTAATATCTGGGAAGCTTGAAGTTCTGTACTTAAAAATACTGAAATAAAAAAGAAAAAATGCATAATGGTAACACGTACAAGAATTTTAAATATTTCATTGAAATTATTCACTTAAAAAACTGTCAACAATACCTCCAAAGTTGTGGCACAGAGTAAAAAAATGTTTAATGCTTTTAAATCAACAACTTTAAAAGGACCAAAAAGTAATACCAACTGTTGTAGAACACCACAAATTTAAAAATGAAATGAGAGAAAAAACTAGGACTATATAAAATAGACACTCTTATTAAATGTATTCACATTGTACTTTAAATGATTGATTTTTTTTTTTTACATTGGTGGAGCCTGAGCAGCTCCTGCTGGAGTTAAGCAGACAAGGATACAGGCCCCTGCAACACATCAGCAACAGATCTGCTTCACTTTCATCTACTTTATGTATGAAGCTTTAGCCTAAAGACTGAGCTTGAACAGATGAATGGGAACAAAAAGGGCACTAGAAATAAAAAACTAAGACAAATTTTTTATTCTTCTTAGTTTAATTAATATATTAAATGATCTAGATTGCTATCTCAATAAAAGTACCAAGGGCCTGCTCTGAGCCAAGAATCCTGCAGACAATGGGGATGCAAAGTCAAATTAGATAGTGTCTACCCTCAGTGTTTAAAATCCAGTAGAAGAGACCCACCAGCAAATCAACAATTTAAGAACATGTGAGACTCTAATAAATTATTGTCTCAGAGGTACAGCACAGTCAGGCCAGGAGAAAACAAAGCTCTAACTGATCTGCAAGCAGGTATGAGGAGGGACCCCCCCAAAATACCGGAATTATCTTTTGGAGGGCAGGTCCTTTATAGTAGACTCGGAATTTGTTCCTTGGGATCAAATGGTCAACCAAAGTTTTTATCTGGAAGTTTTCAGAAGATTGCATTACGATTTGCAGAAAAACATCCTGAGTTGTGGCAAACAGGTGACTGGTTTCTCCACCATAATAATGCACCTGCCCACACTGCACTGAATGTTCATCGGTTTTGGACCAACAACACCCATGACCCCCGTGCCCCACCCCACTATGTACCTGCTCTCACCCAGAGCAACTTTTGTTTCTCCAGATGAAAAAAGTCCTCAAAGGGAAACATTTTGCCAACGTGGAAGAGGTAAAACAAAAAACAAGAAAAAGCATCAAAATTGATGAGTTCAAAAACTGTTTTGAGCAGTGGAAAAAGCATCTCAGTAGGTGTAATGCATCAAATGGAGAGTACTTTGAAGGTGGCAAGTTCAAACATGTAAGAATAAATACACAATTTTTAAATAAGTAAATTCTGGGGTTTTTTTTAGGTCCCCTCTCATAGAGCAATCTGAGTTGGATAGACCATGCTGATCTATTTACAAGTCTCCTACTTTCACCAATTCATTTAACACTTTCAACAGCCATATATAAGAAAATTACTCAAAAATCCTAGATGGTTATAGTCTTATTTTAAAGTAACTTTTACTATAGTAGTTAAAACATTCTTTTTTTGTTGTTTAGTTAAAATTATACATGTGCAAGATCCAAAATGTAATGTAGCCTTTTTTGACTTCAAATGAACAGAAAATATATCTGAAAAACTATTTAAAAGTACCAGTGCCAGGGTACCAGCCTTGGAGATTCTGAACAGTAGATCTGAAGCAGGGGTTGGTTATTTGCATGGTTTGTTTTAGACCCAAGGTGATTGTCATGGGTGGGCAGGATTGAGAGCCACTAGTTGAAAGACTTTTCCAAGCAATATGCACATAACAGTTTAAAGTACCAAAACGTTAAAACCAATTATCTATCAAACTTTGCTCATAAGAACTATGCTAAGGTACCTCTGATTTTAAAACTTCATTAAGACAGTTTACAAGTACTTCAAACATTTATATTTTGAACAGAATATTGGCTGAAATTTACCTTTATTTTCCAGAAGCATGCTCTCTCTACGTAATAGTACAAACAAGTGTTTAGTCTAATATTTACAATGCTAATCCTTGCAGATGGTAAACAATACAGGGAAAAGTTAAGTCTTCTTCCCATCACAGGTCCTTAGACTCCCCCTCCCCAGAGGCAATCACCATTAGTTTCTTGGGTATCTTTTTAGGCATTTATGTATGTGTTTATTCAGTATACATATTCTCATCTATATACTTTTGTTTCTTTCATATAAACAAGAGCAAGCTACATATGTTCTGTATATTTATTTATTTGTCAACATATCTTAAGAGATCATTCCATATCAGAACATTTGACCTACTTTCATTCTTTCTAACAGCTATCTAGTGTATCACTGCATAAATGTACCATTTCAATATAACTATGGACACTCAGGTTTCCCATCTTTTTGCTACTACAATGTCATAATGAACAACCTTTTTATATATCTTTGTACACTTAGGGGAATAGCTATGTATTCCTAGACACAGAATTGCCAAGTCACAAGGCAGTTATTCTCCCACCTTAGTCTAATGCCTATAGTATATGAAAATGAAAATGCTTACTCTCCCAAACTTGTATGATAATCTTTTTTTTTTTAACTTGGCCTTTCCTAGCCTGGTAAGTGAAAAAATAGTATCCTGTCATTTTATTTTTGTAACTCTTTGAGTGATCCTGTGCATCTTTTCATTCTTAGAAGCAATTAATTTTTTTCCTGTAGAATGCGTGTTCATGTCTTATTTATTTTATACATTTTTTCAGTAAATTTTTATCTTTTTTCTTGGTTTATAAAAGTTCATCATATAATAAGGAATTTAGTCCTTTTAATTCTACATATGTTGCAAATACTTTCGAGAACAACGTGAAGAAATTTATTATGTCAATATGATAAAATTGTCAAACTAAAGAAATAATAAGCCGGACTCGGTGGTTCAGCTTGTAATCCCATGCTTTGGGAGGCTGAGGTGAGTGGACTGCCTGAGCCCGCGGGTTCGAAACCCGCCTCGGCAACTTGGTGAGACCTCATCTCTACAATAATTCAAAAAATTAGCCGGGCATGGTAGCGTGCCTGTAGTTCCAGCTACTTGGAAGGCTGAGGCAGAAGGATCATCGGAGCCCAGCAGGTCGAGGCTGCAGTGGCCGCTCCCAGTCTGGGTGACAGAGTGAGACTTCAACTCAAAAAAAAAAAAAAAAAAGAAAGAAATAATAAATGCTGGTAAGATTGTGAAATGGTATCATCTTTCTGGGGCAAAATATGGCAATATACATCCAGATCAGAGATTTTAAAAAATATTCATAATCCTTGTCTAAATAAAAGTAACCAAAAATATGTTAAAAATTATTTTAAAATATTAAAAACCAAATATCTCCAAATTTGAAGTTATTAATAAAAATGTTATAGCACATTAGCCAATTTAAATTATGTTTTCAAAATAAATTGATGGGAAAACAAAAAGGACAATATACTAAATGAAGAGGAGGAAGAGATCTGTAATAGGATTTTGATCTTATTTAAGAGAGAGAGAGTGAGTGGGTATACAAACAAAAAGAAAGAAAATATACCAAAACATTATTCATAATTCTTTCTGTGGAGTGACATTATAAATGCTTTCTTCTTTACATTGTATCTGTTTTCTAAGATTTCTATGATAAGCATGTAATTTTTTAACATATAAAATTTACCACTGTCACCATTTTAAAGTGTACAGTTCTGAGACACTAAGTAAGTTTGCCTTGTTGTACACCACCATCCATTTCCAGAACCTTTTCATCTTCCCCACTAAAACTCTGTATCCATTAAACTCTAACTCCTCATCATCACTCTCCTAAGCATGTATCTTCAACATATCAATTTCTCTCATAATTCCTCTTTATATTTACTTGTACCAGAAACCCGTTATTATTATTATTATTGTACTTCTTAGCAGCAAAGGCAAAAAGGAAACTATGATGGATTACATAGCCTCATTGACGGAAATTGAGTATGCAAGTTCCTGTAGGCCAGTGCTTCTTAGGTTCCTTTCAGTCTCAATATTCTGAGGGTTACTGTGACCTTCTGTTAATAACAGTGATTCATTACATCAGTGATTCACACCAAATGGGAGGAAGATGGGGAAACAAAGTTAAGAACTAGGAGTGGGGGAGAGGGCACATAATTTATATACACCCTCAACACATAGAAGCTAATTCAAATGCCAAAACGTCTATCACTACTAAATACATACATACATACATACAATACTAGAAGATGCTAGAAAAATTACTTCAAATGACCGCTGTTTGTAGAACTTTAAAAATATTATAATATTAAAGTTAAAAATTTTTGAAAGGACCCAATACAAACAATTAGATCTATTATTTATGGTAATAGTTTGACCATAGAGTAATCTATACTCTAAATCCCTTACTGATGAAAATCAGCCATGCTTTTAAGTGCCCTGAATGTACAAATTTTATCTTTTTTAAAAAACTGATGTATCCCTGATATAGAGAAGTTCTTAATAAACAATAGAAGATCAATAAATATTTTTGAACAAACTATCATTCAGTGCCTATCACAAAAAGCAGTATCTAATAATATGCTTAGCCTAGTTTCAGAGTTTTAAGATTACTTAATCTATTTAGGACTGGAAATCATTAATTTTATTCATCTAGTAACAAGTATTAAGAGATGAATTAGGTAAAGAAAAAATTACTAAAGTATTAAAATCATAAACACAGGGCATTCTATATTAGCTAAATAAATCACAAGTGTTAGAGTATAATTTATACTATACTATATAAACATTTCTGAGTAACCTCATATTTTAAGTCAAATATTAATTCATTTTAATATATAAAACGTCTAATGCTTCATTAATGAAACTGTATAAATCTTCACTGGAAAATAACAAAAACCAGATCAAACACACACATTTAAGTGCTCAAGGAAAGATAACTTACATAGAAGTGTCAAACAGTCTTCCTTCTTTTTTAAACGATCTTTAATATCTCCTGATATAAGTACCGAATATGGACATGCCATTTCTTTTAAAAAACCACTTATCTCAAGTTGGAAGCTCTCTAGATCATCTCTGCCTTTAAAAAAAATCATAAAGTCAAGTCATTTACTGAGTAATCCAATACTATAAAATCTACTACTGGTTTACTTCAATTTTACATTCAATTCTAAATTTTTACTTTCACATTAAATCTTTAGATGTGTGATCACAAAGCTTCATTAAAGGTAATCAAACAATTTCTACATATAAAGTAACACTAAAACTTAAGACTACAGATATCAATTTAAGACCATAACTATCATGAGATTATAAATATTGTTATATTTAAAACCCTAACAAATCACTTCCAATGGATTCCCTGTAACAGCAGATAATATGGAAATGTTAGTAACTGAAATATTAAAAGCATTATTATGGCTACAATTATTAATTGGCTTCAGAGCAAATGATCCATTTTTATTATATTTCTATATATTCAGATAATAAATGCACTCATCTAAGCAAGTCTCATTGCTTATCTTTATTTCATAATAACATGGGAACTTGTACATGTGTTTAGAATTCAGATTATTTACTTTGCTTCAACTGAATTCTGTTATGGTTGGCAAGGGAAAAATAATTTAAAAGGACAGTATGGGTGCAATGGTGGACATCTTTAGTTGCAGCTATTTAGGAGGCTGAGGTAGGATGATGGCTTGAGCCCAGGAGTTCAAGTCCAGCCTGGGCAACATGGCAAGACCTCATCTCCTAAAAAAAAAAACAAAACTTTATACGCCAGTACAGAAGTTTTTTATAAATGTATTCCAATGTGAATCCAAATCATGAGTTACAGGCTTGGGAATACAATTTAAATTAGGGATTACATGTATTTGAAAAAAAAAAAAAAGGACACTTTAATTCAATATCAGCAGCATTGAAAATTTAAATCTAATTTAGATAACCAAATCAGACTCTACTTTATCTTTTTTTTCTTTTTCTTTTTGAGTTGGAGTCGCACTCTGTCGCCCAGACTGGAGTGCAGTGGCCGCTCCCAGCCACCACAGCCTCGACCCGCTGGGCTCCAGCGATCCTTCCGCCTCAGCCTTCCAAGTAGCCAGAATTACAGGCATGCGCTACCATGCCCGGCTGATTTTTTGATTTATTGTAGAGATGAGGCCTCGCTGCCCAGGCGGGTCTCGAACCCACGGGCCCATGCAATCCACTCACCTCAGCCTCCCAAGGGTGCGGGATTACAGTCTGAGCTACCGAGCCCGGCTAAGACTGTACTTTTTCTAAAGAACAGAACTAAATAGTAATTGCTTATAATTTTACAGCAAATTTAAAAATCAATTTTAGATTAATTTAAAATTTAATGCTAAGATTTTTAATATCACCCACTGAAGTTCTTCAGAATATGTAATTTTTCTTTTGTACACTGGGCATACTGTTGACAAAACTGTAAATCATAAGCTATCAGTTAATTTTACTATTAAACAGAAAAGTAAATAAAACATAGTGGCAATACCAGCAGAAGTGATACTTTCTTCCAAGTTGCACAATGATTTTATTTGAGAGCTTAACCAAATACAGAGCTCTGAAAATTCAGGTGAAGTCAGTCCACCCTCTGCTGCCTTAGCAAGGGCTTGCTCTTCTAACAGTGGTCCCTTATACCTAGAAAGAAAGAAATAAAAGTTAAAAACAAACCAAACAAAAAACTTCCGATACTCTGTATCAAGGTCTGCTACCTCTTTTTGTAAATAAAATTTTATTGAAACACAGTCAATAAATGTATTCACTCACAGATTGTCTATGGCTGTTTTCACACTACAATGGTAAAGCTGAATAGGTGTAACAGAGATGCTACAGTCAACAAACCCAAAAGTATTTGCTATATGGTCTTTTGCAGAAATAGTTTGCTGATTCCTGCTTTATATAATTAATACTGGCTTTTTTCCATATTGCAACATTTTACAGTAAAATTACCTACCAATTTTATGATAAATATCACAAATAACACAAAGTCAAATATAGCATAAAGTCTAATAGCCTTATTCTAAGAATAGTTGCAAATTTCAAATTAAAAAATATAAAGCTGAAAAGAACCTGAGATCATTTTAACCTAAACCATTTATTGTATAATTTTATACTTTTAAGCATTTCTGCAAACTGTATTTGATGAACCTTAAGTTTTTAAAACACTTTACATACTACCTTAATTAAATTAGGTTTTCTACTGTATGGTTCTTTTCACAACTGAGCTTTTTCTTAACATTGTAAACTATTTGATGTGATTTAATCCATTGCAGTTATTATTCTTTTGATATTCACATTCTTCTGTCTCTGGTTAGTAAGAGCCTATTCATATAGGCCAATGAGCCCCTTGACTTGTTCCCAATATTCTTTGAAATCTTTCCTTACTATCTATGACAAGATGTTCCTGCCATAGACTTGTAATCAGGCATTTCTTCTAGGAGCCCTGATTCTTTTTCATGGAGTTTAGAGCACACAATGTGGTAACAACAGTTAATCACTGTTTGTATGCCTTTGTATGAGAAACCATGTCAGGAGTTCAGTTTGCTATTTCCAATTTGAATTTAGAATTGTAGGGCTTTTACTTACTTTGTTTTATATTTTTATCTACTTTAAAATAAAAATTCTTGTTTTTAGTAATATTGCAATAGTTCTATTATATATAAAAGTAGGTGTAAATTACATACAGCCTCAGAATAGAAAATCTAGCATTATTGCTAACAACAACATTACTGAAAATAGTTTAATATTTTTAGATTTAGAATATATTCCAGTAAGGATGTACAGAAAAGTAATTCTTTTCCATGTGGTTAAACCACATACTCAATATATCAATAGACATTTATTTCATTTTGCTTTCAATTTTTAGAGATATATTTGTTTTGATTTCATTTTTATTTAGTTGTCTTACAATTATGTAAAACATTCATGTGGTTTCAAAGTCTAACTTAAAAAACAAGGTATATTCAGGAAAAATCTAGTTTGCAATCTTAATCTTGTACCCTCTACGCTGTTCTATCCCTCTACCATAGGTAGCCAGATTTATTAGATTGGTGTGCCCTTCCATAATGTGTTTTAATGTAAGCATTTTTTCCTTTTTTTTAAAGATAAAAGGTAGCCTACTATATACTGTTCTATGCCTTGCTTTAAATACATACATGTTCACACATTTACATACACTAGGGAGCAGTACTTAGAGATACTATAAATCATTTTTACAGTTGTATACTATCTCACTGTCTGGATGCACCATATTTTATTTATTCAGCATTTACTGAAGGACATTTGAGTTGTTTCCAGTATTTTTTAAATTTTGTTTTGTTTTGGTCTGGGAGGTTGCTTCCATTATTTTGTTACTATATGGCAAATTTTTGTCACTGCATATCTGAGAAGATTCCTAGGGGTAAGTTAGATTGTTGTGCCAAAGGCCAAATAGATATGCAATTTCGTTAGATACTAAAAAATTTTCCTCTAAAGCGGTTTTACTATCAAGATATCAGAGTACCCATTCCCCTATAATTCAAAGTTGTCAAACTTTTGGATTTTTGACCATTTGGTAGTTCATTATAGTTTTAATTTACATTTCCGTTATGAATAAGTCATATGGCATCTTTGCATATGTTTAAAGGTCATTTGCATTTCTTTTTCTCTGAATTCTATGTTCAAAGGCCTCATTGGCCTATGTGAATGAGCACTTACTAACCAGAGATATGAGATTTGAGTATCAAAAGAATAATAATGGCAATGTATTAAAATACATCAAATATATTCATATCCATGAGTTTATAATGTTAAAAAAAAAAAAGCTCAGTTGCAAAAAGAACCAAAAAGGTGAGTACAACAGGTATTTTCTTTCTTTCTTTTTTTTTTTTTGAGTTGGAGTCTCACTCTGTCGCCCAGACTGGAGTGCAGTGGCCGCTCCCGGCCACCGCAACTCGACCTGCTGGGCTCCGACGATCCTTCCGAGTAGCCAGAATTACAGGCATGCGCTACCACGCCCGGCTTTTTTTTTTATTTATTGTAGAGATGAAGTCTCGCTGCCCAGGCGGGTCTCGAACCCGCGGGCTCAGGCAATTCACTCACCTCAGCCTCCCAAAGGCGCGGGATTACAGGTTGAACCACCCAGCCTGGCCAACTCCCATTTTGAGGTAAAGAAACTAAGACTTGGCTGGACACGGTGGTTCATGCCTGAAATCCCAGACTTTGGATAGAGGCCAAGACGGGAGGATTGCTTGAGCCCAGGAGTTCTAGACCAGCCTGGGCAATATTATGAGACCTTATTTCTACAAAAAATTTACAGAATTAGTCAGGTATAATGGCATGCACCTGTAGTCCCAGCTACTTGGGAGGCTGAGACAGGAGAATCGTTTGAGCCCAGGAGCTTGAGGCTGCAGTGAGCTGTGATCATGTCACTGCATTCTAGTCTGGGTAACAAAGTGAGACCCTGATGGAAGGAAGGAATGAAGGAAGGAAGGAAGGAAGGAAGGAAGGAAGGAAGGAAGGAAGGAAGGAAGGAAAGAAACTAAGAACCTGTATATATACATTTTTTTTTTTACAACTTACTTAATATTTACAGCAATACTTTAAGTTAGTATTATCCTAATTCTGTAGTATCAGGAGATAAGTAACTAAATGATGGCACTAGGATTCAAATCCAGATTTGACCCAAACCCTCCATGTAAACTTTCAGACTTCTGCCTACAACTACAAGGAAACTAAGCAAATAATCTGGTCCAGGTAATACAGTCAAGTAAAGGCTGAGCTGGGATTTAAACTCTATTTCTGTACCTCCAGCCCAAGGCTGGTTCCCCTATGCATTTACTTCTTCCATGTCTTACAAGAGGGAACCCCCCAAACCCCAGAATTATCTTTGGAGCAGAGGTCCCTTGTAGTACACTCGGAATTTGTTCTTCCAGATAAACAGTCAACCAAAGTTTTTATCTGGAAGTTTTGAGAAGGTTGCATCACAACTTGCAGAAGAAATGTTCTGAGTTGTGGCAAACTGGTGACTGACTGGTTTTTTCACCATGACAACATACCTGCCCACACCACGCTGCTGAGGGTTCAGCAGTTTTTGACCCAAAACGACCTCCCTATTCAATCTCGCTGTGAGCTACTTCTTTTTGTTTCCCCAGATGAAAACAGTCCTCAGAGGAAAGCATTTTACTGACATGTAAGAGGTGAAACAAAAAAGCTGCAGAAACAGTAAAAGGCATCAAAACTGACAATTTCAAAAATTGTTCTGAGCAGTGGGAAAAGCATCTCGATAAGTGTAAATAAATTCTGGGTTTTTGCACCCCCCCATACAGTAAACATCTTATTTCCCTGTACTTACTTTCATTTCTGCAATAAATCAATACCCATAAACTCTGAAAGGACAGAACCCAAAATGGAATTTCTTTGGTCACCTTGAACTCATACAGGACAATAATCCTTTCCCAAACCCTTGGGCGAGTCCCAAAATGTTAAGATTAACATCTTTTTTCAAGAGTTTGCCTTCCAGCTACCACCTCACCTTTTGTCTATGTGTTTGTGATCTACCCACCCATCCATCTGCTGTCAGAGATGCCAGAAACAGACTGCCACCCCATCACCATGGCAACAGCTCCTGTGTTTACCTGCTTCTACTAAAAGGGAAACTTTAAGAGCTTTCATCCTCAAGCATTCGCTGCCAAATGTTCCTTAAGCGTCTGGTCCCCTCTCTAATCTTAGAGAGATGGAGCCACACTCTAATTTCTGTGTAAATCTTTGCATAACGATGTTACCAGTTCAGTTTGCTCACCTAACAAATTCTTAAATAAATGTAACTGATTCATATTGGCAGTGACAAGTTATTTTAACTGAAATGCCAATTACAAAAAATCAACAGAAACTGATCAAAATAATAAAAAAACATTGAATTAGGAGGGAAAAAAAATCCATAATCCTTAATGCCTTAGCTCATCAGATAAAGTAAAAAATAAAAATAAAAAATAAATACATTTAACATACTTGAATATCTAATAACTATCAAAACTATAATAGCGACTAACATTTATAAACTGATCATTGAATGTGAGGCCAGTGCTAAGAGCTTTATATAAATTACTTCACTTAATTGACATAATACCCTATAAGGTACATACTATTATTAGTTCAGTTTGACAGATGAGAAAACTGAGAAATATAAAGGTAAAAAACTCACCAGGGATGGTCATAATCTCAGCTAACAGTTGGCTGAGAACTGAACCACAGCCCCACTCTCTTAACCCCTATTGTTCTGTTACCATCCAGAAATACAGAGGGTGCCAAAAAATGAACACATTTTAAGAAAGGAAAAAACTGTCTTAAAATTTTAATACTCAATAAGATGAATACAAGTCATGTTTGACTTCTGCAATTATAAAAGGTACTCAGAGTGGTTACTGTCAGCATCCAGACACTTCTGATTACAGTGAACATCTCTTAAAATGTGTACTTTTTTTGGTACCCTCGGTAAAACTTTCTAATTATCTTACACAATAGACATATCCAAAAATATTCTGCTAGATAATCTAATAAGAATATTAAGAGTGTATCTGACTAGAGCAGTGCTTCTTAAACTTTTATGTGCATATGAATCTCCCGAGGGTCATGTTAAATAAAGATTCTAATTCCGTAGAGCTGCAGTGAGGTCAGAGATTCTACCTCTCTACTACCCAGGTGGTGATGAAGCTGTCCACAAGCCTCTCATTCGGGAGCACAATTCTTGAGTACTTTATTTATCATCACTCTTTCTCCTCCTGCAGTATATGAGAAATTAGAATAGGTATTTAAGAGTCTATTTATGCTACATATATCAACATTTTTGTGCTTATCAATTTTATTTCATGCTTGCTTTGATTTCCAATGCCATTCTGCTGTTTACTGACAGTAACTATGCTCCTAGTTTATTCTGTATATTCTTATTTAATTAGAAAAGTGCAACTGTTATTCAAAACACTGGGGACACTTCCCCTAGGCCTAGACCCCCTCCATTTCCCCAGGGCCTCGTACACTAGAGCCATACTTGCCAATGTGACACTACTTCAAGTTGGGTGGTCCAAATCTTCAGTCCGATAGAGCTGCTGGCAACTCTCCTCTCCAAGACAGGCAGGGTCTAATTCACTTTCTGTTTTCTATTTTCATCAGTCAACAGATAAAATGTAAGACCCTTTCTTTTCCCTTGTTATTTACCCACTTTATTGGTCTTGCCACTCATCCAGCTCTACACTTCTCCCTGTGTCTCAAACTCTTTCACCATGTTCATCCATTACCTAGTGGATGTTGTTATATTGTCCAGAAATATTAGCCCTACAACCATTAGCTTTGGCTACTTTTACCCTCTGAAATTTCTCCAAGTCAGATAGTAAGGTGTGTCTCCTTCTTGCTTTCCAAAACAGCATCCATACCATTGCTCTCCCATTATCTTATCAATATCTCCTGTTCTCTTGAGGCTTAGGTCAGTCAGACTAGCCACCATTTCTCCTGTGGTTTTCATCTATCAGTCTCTTGGACATTCCCCAACATCCCTTTTGCTTAGTCTTCCTCTTCACTTCTACTCTTGCTACTACAAAGAGTTTCTTCAAAGGCAATATGGATATCCTATTACATACCTTGAGCTCTCAATTCCAACCATCTCCACAACATGTATTTCAGCCAAACCCTGAACCCTACCATCATCTAAAACTAGTCCCCTCCAAAAATAATCCAACCATGTTACTCCCTGACCACAACCTCTAACTTGTTTTTTGGCCACTAACCTACAACTTTTTTTTACATCATCACTACTTCTATTCCCTCTGTACTCTCCATATTTATTATCTCCCTCCTATCTTCACTTTGTTCCCTATCCAATTTAGATCCCAAGGTGCTCAACAAACCACCAACTGAAGACATAAATCTGGCACAGAGACTCATGCCTGTAATCCAAATATGCTGGCAGGCAGAAGAATCACTTAAGACCAACCTACACAACACAGGGAGACCTCATCAATACAAAAAAAATTTTTTTTAAATAAAAATTCTAAAAAGAAATGAATACTTGCATTCTAATATCCAATCACTATATCCTGTAATGCACTTCTTTTCCGTATCCACTGCCACTAAGCCACCATCATTTCTTTTCCAGACTAACTAAATTCTCCAATCCATTCTTCACCTTGCTGACTGATGTAACTGTCAAATTAGACAGCTAATCACTCCCTTTCTTATTAAATATACTTCAATCATTTCCCACTGCTGTCATGATCAAGAAAAAAATCTACAACACAACCTAAAAGGTGCCACATGCCATGATCCTCACCCAACTCTTGAATCCAATTTCATACCACTCTTGCACTCTGCCTTCCCACCATATTAGCTTCCTACTAGTTCTTCTAAAACAGCATGCTCCTTCCCACTCAAGGTGTTCATGTTTTCTTCTCACTCTCAAAATACTTTTGTCCTCCTTTCCCATTCAATCTCAGCTAGTTAACTTCCATTCACCCTTACTATTTCAATTCAAATGTCACTTTCTTAGGAATCACTAACCCCTAAAACGACGTAAGTCCTCCTGTTATATCATCCTATTCTTTTCTTTTGACACATTTATTATAGTTTATAATTATTTGTGTGACCATGTCCATTTCTCTACTAGATTGTAAGCTACTCAGGAACAGAAACCAAGTCTATTTTGCTCACCACTGACTACTTTGAACTGTGGCCAATATACAATTATGCTCAACAGATATTTAAAGTAAACTTCCCTCCATAGCACTGTTTCTCAACTTAGGCTCTGAAGCTTTTTTAAAAATATGCATTCCTGTACCATACCTCTGAAGACTATGGCTCCATCAGTCTGTGGTATACACCAGACTAGAACATTCCTCAAGCTCCGTAGAAGATTCTGATGCACAACCAGCCTTGAGATCTACTGTTCCACAAAATCACAGACAATCAGAACTGGAAGAGACTTCTGAAATCATCTGCTCCAGCCCGACTCATTTCACAGATGAGAAAACTGGGTGACTCTTCGCCTGTTTTCATTTATATTATGCCACTAATTGTTCTTTCACATAGATTTTTTTCTCTCTTAATGCCTCCCATTAATTTCTTATTTTATATGACAAACTAAAATACCTTCACTGATATCCTAAATTTCTTACAAGAGAAAATGCATTATTCACAATCTACATTGATATTTAAAAGCATTCAATTACAAAACTATTGTAAATAACTACTTTTTTTCACATTTCATTATTAAAGGGAAATTCAAACTTCAAAATTCTGTTCTCAATTATTCCAGAAAAAGTAATTCTAAAGTATGAAAATTGCTTTACTTTCCAGATTGAATGATCTAAAACTAATTTTCCTTAATAAAAGTCAAGATTATAGCAAACTTCATTTTCCAAAACACCTATAATATGAACAACAAGTTCAAGGCATGAAAGAAGAAACAAAAACACTGCCTTCCCCTTTTCATTAACTATTTATGGGATACCACTATTCTTATCTGGAGTACTTGGGAACTCAAACTGTTTGGGGCCTAAATTCTTCTCCTAAATATTTTAACTTCTCTTGGTTACTTCCTTAACTAAGTCAGAATTTCCAAGGGATTTCACAGAAATAAAAATGCCCCCTAAATTCTGATTACTTAGGCTCTGTTCTTTCATTTGACATATTTATTCAGAATCTACTAAATGAAAGGCTCTGTAACACTGGGTCACTGCAAAGTAGGTATTACCAGGGTCCAACTAAACAGTTGATAGAGAAGTAAATGTAATTTTGTGAAAAAAATAAAAGAGGAGGGGACTGAAGGTTCATAAGGACACTGCAAAGACACAGTTTATCCTATCAAAAAACAAACAGATGCCGGGCTCGGTGGCTCAGCCTGTAATCCCGCGCCTTTGGGAGGCTGAGGTGAGTGGATTGCCTGAGCCCACGGGTTCGAGACCCGCCTGGGCAGGCGAGACCTCATCTCTACAATAAATCAAAAATTAGCCGGGTGTGGTAGCGCGCACCTAGTTCCAGCTACGGAAGGCTGAGACGGAAGGATCGCCGGAGCCCAGCAGGTCGAGGCTGCGGTGGCCGGGAGCGGCCATTTGCACTCCAGTCTGGTGACAGAGTGAGACTCCAACTCAAAAAAAAAAAAAACCAACAACAACAGACAAACAAAACCGCAGCATGTAGCAGGGCAAACAATTGTGCAGATGGCTCCAAATTCTTTAATAAATATGCATTTTTTTCCACTCAACTACCTGGTCCTATGCTTACTGCTGTACACTCTTCTTTTTTTGCGCTTCATTCATTTACTCTTTGATTCAACCACTACTTATTGTAACAGACCCTGTTCTAGTGTGTTGCTGGAAATACATCAGTAAGCAAAATAATAAGGGCATGGGTTTTCCAAGAGATGACGAGAGAGAGAGAGAGAGAGAGAGAGAGAGAGAGAGAGAGAGAGAGAGAGAGAGATATCAGGGGAGAGAAAAAGGGAGTTAAAGAGACAAATAAATGGATAGGACAAGATAATTTGGGATAAGGAAAAGGGCTGTGGAGATAACGGATCCCCACACCTGGAACTATTAACATCACCCTCACTTCCACCCCAGGAGTTCTCACAGCACTTAGCATCATTAATTATAAATATCAGCAAACAGTAAGCTCTTTGTGGCCCTCACGACTATGTAACTAAAAGTGATCTGAAAACTGCCCCTTCCCGTAGGAGAAATTTACAAAGGTAAACATGTATTAATGAATACACGAGTTAACAGACATGTTGTTGACGGACGGATGAAATGGTTGAAAGAATGTACTCGCAAAGAACTAAAAGACTGTCTTCAATCAAAGAAGTACGACAAATTCGCTCGCGAGCTCGAAGCTGAACGCCGTAGGAGAGAAGTCCTCAGCCACAGTTCCCTCCAGGCGCAACCACTACGTCAACGTAAACATCACCCGCGGGCACCCGCTGGCTGGGAGAACCCAAACGAGCAGGGCCGCTCGGTGCCTTCCCGCAGCTGCGGGCAGCAGAGTATCAGGGCAAGAAGTTTGGAAGTGGGGGCCACGCGCCCCAGCTCGCTCGCCCTGCTCCACCCCCCAAACGGATTTCTCTCCCGCCTCCCGCTTAACTCCGTCAGCGCCGAGGAGAGCGGGGCAGGACAGAAGGCCTTCACCGGGCCGCCCGGGCCCAGCGGAGGCCCAAGGGAAGCAGGCTGCAGCAGCCAAGCAGAAGGAGAAGTTGCGATTTCAGGGAAAAAGACGTCCCCAAGAACACTCACCCCAACGCCTCCAGTGTGTCCAGCACGTCCCCCTCCATCGTCGGCTCGGGACCTGGCTCCGGCCCTCTCATGGTCGTTGGGCCCAAAACTGTTCAGCGCTCTAAGGAGCCCGCCGGAAACTAGCGTCACAGCGCCAAGGTTCCGGCCCGGGTCTCGTCGGTGACTGCCTAAGAGCACCGCTGACGGGGCGCAAAGGTTCCCTCCCGCAGGCTACGGACACTTGGTAGTACCTAAAACCGCTTTATGTAGGAATAGTAATTTTTTAAAAGGATAATAAAAACAACAAAGAAATAGTAGCAATAAAGGGCCTTTTTGTGTCGGATCTGGTGTATTGAAATCAATCTTAGCAAATATTCTGTTTCTACCCGAGTTGATCTCAACCTATCAGATTCCAGACCTTTCTTTTCTTTCTTTCTCTCTCTCTCTCTCTCTCTCTCTCTCTCTCTCTCTCTCTCTCTCTCTCTCTCTCTCTCTCTCTCTCTCTCTCTCTTTTGAGTCACTGTCTCACACAGTCGCACAGGCTGGGGTGAAGATATATCATCACAGCTCATCGCAGTCTCGACTTCCTGCTGGTGATCATTCTCCAACTCCTGGGCTCAAGCAGTCCACCCACCTCGACTTCCTGAAGTTCTGGTATTGCAGGTGTGAGCCACTGCCCCCGGCATACTTCTTTTTTAACAACAAAAATACTGAAATGAAATCATAATTATTTTGAGCTAAAATTAGTAAATAATATCACAGGCTTTCACGTATCAACTTTAAATTAGTGTACATGACAGTGTTCAGACTTGAATATAAAGAAAAATAAAGGGAAGGTAATTTATAACAAAATAATATGACTTTATATGAAATGAAGGATCAAATGCTTGCATCTATCTGTAGAATCCTAGCAAATATATATATCCAGATTATGTGCTGCATTGCTGACAAAATATGAGTTATATAAGCAACAAAAATACCATAAGCAGAGTAAGGTAGTTGATGTGATCTCCCAAAATTGTAGCTAATTTTCCATAAAGTTCAAAAGAAGCAAACACAATATTCCCTTTCTGTACTATTCATGGAAAATTCAATCTCTATATAAATGATGGAAAAATATTTTAGGGCTTATATGTAAAAGGGAGTAAGAACATAAAGTCAGATCATTATCAGCAGGTATGTCACCTACCTGAATAGTTCAGCAGAACTGTTGAAGGTTATGCAAGACATATAACTATTGATTCTTGTAAGAGAATGTCCCTTGCATTGCAGAATGCATAACATACCTAGCCCCAGTTCAATAAAACCAGTAATGCTTTTACCTCCCTAATCACTGTTACAAACAAAAAGCAAAACACCCTAGGGTAAGCTTAATACCAGAATTAAAAGAGTTTAGTAGTAAATGGCTGGATGCGATGGCTAAAAAACAAAGCAAATTAAATCCAAGGAAACAGAGAGATAAAATAAAAGAGTGGATGCCAATGAAATAGAAGGAAAATGTAATCAAGAACATTAAGAGTAGATACCAATGAAATAGAAGGAAAATGTAATCGAGAACATTAAGCCAAAATCTGAGTCTCTGCAAAGGCTAATAAAATGGACAGAGCCTTAGCAAGGCTGAACAAGATGACTAAAAAGACCAAATAGCCAATATAAAGAATGAATATGGAAGACAGTACTGTTCATCAAACATTAAACAGTAAGAGAATGTTGTGAGAAACTTATGCTAATACGTTTGACATTTATATGAAATTGACAAATTTCCCACAAAACACAGCTTAACAAAAATAATACCAGACTGTGCCACTGCACTCTAGCCTGGGCAACAAAGTGAGACTCTGATTCAAAATAAATAAATATAAATAAATAAATAAATAAGAAATTTGTAGACCAATTTCCCTCATAAGAAGAGAGCTACTCTGTTACCCGAATAACTGTGCCATTGCTGTCCTGGCTTTTTCAATACATGGTACTGGGTTAATCAGATATCCAAATCTTTACCTCTACCTTGTGCTTTACTCCCAAATCAATCCAGGTGGACTAAAGACGTAAATTAGAAGAAAAAATAAAGTTTCCAAAAGATGACATACCATATCTTCATGACCTTTAGATAGTCAAAGATTTCTTGATCTATTGGTTAAGGTTTTTATGTCCTATTTAAGAAATCTTCACCTATTTTACAGGACATGCATATGCTATATTATATTGACAACTTGGTCTTTACTAAAATTAACTTCATAAAAAAGTCTCCATTAAAAAATGAGAATGCAAGCTACACATGCGAAAGAAAATGTGTAATACACATGCTTGATAGGGGGCTCATGTTCAGATTATGTAAAGAAATCCATCAAATAAATAAAAGACAAAGTCAAACAACTCACAATTCAAAAGAGGGAAAAATGGACAAAAGACTTGAATAGGCACTTCAGAAAAGAGTATTTCAAATAGCCAAAAACTGTATGATATTATGCTCAATCTCATTGGCATTAGAGAGATGCAAATTAAAATAATAATGAGATATTATTACATACAGAGAGAAAAAAGCTAAAATTATACTCCCCCCCCAAAAAAACCCTGACAATATCAAATACTGATAAGAATGTTAAGACTGGAACATTCATATAACCATCGATGGAAATGTAAACTATGGGGGAGAAATTAAACAGTACTTATTAAAACTGACCAAATATGACCCCTGTGATCCAGTACCAAAAGCCATGTACAAGAATGTTCACAGAAACATTATACATACCAGCCAAAAACTAGAAATAATCCCAATGTCTATTTACAATAAAATGAGAAACAAATTATGATGTAATTATACAATGAAATGTTATCTGCAATGGAAATGGACAAACCACTTCTATACAAACATTGATGGATTTTAGCAACACAGTTTTGAGCAGAATAGTTCAAGCATAAAAGAATTCTACTACACGACAAAAGCAAAAAACGATGATAGAAGTCAAAATAGTAATTTCCTGTGGAATAGGATGGTGACTGGGAGAAGTAGAAGGAAGTCTTCTCTGGTGTTGGTAGTGTTCTATATCTTGGACAAATGTGTTCTATTTACAGAAGTTCATTGAGCTGCACACTTATGAATTCTGCTCTTGTCTGTATACATGCTTTAATTTATTTTTTAAAGCTACTTTAAAAATGAATTAATAGGCCAGTACAGTGGCTCATGCCTGTAATCTCAGCATTTTGAGAGGCCAAGGTGGATGAATTGCTTGAATCCAGGAGTTCGAGACCAGCCTGAGCAATATAGCAAAACCTCGTCTCCACAAAATAGTCCCAGCTACTTAGGATGCTGAGGTGGAAGGATTGCCTGAACCCAGGAGGTCGAGGCTGCCTTGAGCCATGATTTTCATAATCATGCCACCATATCCCAGCCTAAGTGGCCCCGACTCAAAAAATTAAAAATAATAATGCTTGTATATTTAAAATGGCTAATTGTGTGTTTTATATCATATATTTTATATACAATGTTTTATACGTATGCTTTATATATTTTATGTTAAAAATTTTATATATTTTACCACAATAAAAATGAATTAATAATGTAAGCTGCTTAAAACAGTATCTTAAAATAGTAAGCACAAATCAAATGCTATCAATTGTCTTAACCTGAATTCCCCAGCAAACAGAGTTTGAGGCAAAAGTTTAGGTGCTAACATATTATTGGGTAAGTTCAATGGTAGGGAAGCAAGAATGATGGAAGAGAGAAGTGAGGCAAAAAAAAAAAAATAGCAAATATGTGTCCTAATCACCTCTTAAAGTTCCTACTTCCCAACACTTTTGCGTTTGGGATGAGGCTTCCAGCACATGAACATATTCAAACCATAGCAATCACCAAATTGGTTACAGCTTTAAAGAACAGTTAATTTGTTCTATCTCTTCAGTGATGTCTTGTGAAACTTATTTCTTTATCATCTCTCTGGGGGAAAAAATGAAGGATTTATACAAGGTTCATATCTCCCATTCATCAAAATAAGTCCATGAGGAAGTTGACTCTACCAGATTTCCAGGTTACATGTGCTCATCATCAACTATGTGGAGCCTCCAGGGCAGAAAACGGCATGCCTTTAGCAGGAACATATTAGAATAGAGTATAACCAAATTTAGGATCCATGAGCAGTCATGGCAATGAGGCCCTTCATCTATAGGAGCAAAGAAGGCAGCAGCAACTGTTTCCACAGTCACTGAAATAGCACAATAGCTATTGCCAGGGTCACCCTAGCCAGAAAACAATGCAAATGCATGGGTCTAGGTGGTGCATAAATTAAGTCCAGTCCTATTTAGCCCTTGCTTCACTCAGAGACACTTAGCTCACCTCTTATTATACCTAGGAGTAAATATTCTTCCTCATTTCCTGGCAAGATACAAGACCAATCTGTTAAGCAAGGTAGTGGACCCTGAAACTTTAAAGACTTCAAGATGGTCAGCAAATGAAGCTAGAATGGTGGTACAGCTGATCCCAGCTGTAATGGATATCCATCAACTTCTTTCACCATATCTCTTATGTATTTCCCATACTCTTGGCCAGCATTTCAGTAGTCTGGGTTGACAGCCATGATCACTGACATTCACCATTTACAGTCTTTAATAAGTGACCAAGAGCAATAAGATATATCCAGTAAAGCTCATTGTGTTTGTACACAAATCTCTATTGTGTGTCAACCAGAGATCCTCGCAGCAAACAGCTATGTCAGTAAAGCAAGGCAATTCTTTGCCAAAAAATTCACTGGCATGAGGACTCCAAACTTGTAAAAAAAAATAATCACCACAGTCAGTGTGTTTTCCTACCCTGGAAAGCAAGGCCTCGAATTCATTAGAACTAAGGTTGTAGAAACAGTAAGCACAAATTCTGCAGGTGTATTCTTGGGAGTGATAGTGAAGGAGCCAATCTCACTTTCTGCCCTTAGCTCATGGGCTCATGTATCCTAGCTAATGGCCACACCACTCTATATCAGTAGCAGTTCACTCATACACATTATACTGGAGATCAGGATTAATCTACAGAATCTTGAGCCCATGCTGATGCTTTATCTGATTCTTCAAAAGACTGTTTCAGATATACAGTTGGCAAATATTTTTTCCCATTCTGTGGCTGTCTCCCCACTCTC